CCATGTTGTGGGGTTGTTAACCAATGTCATAAAATAATATGTGTACTACTGTTTAATGAGAAACTATTTGTTCTGTAAGCCTTCACCTGAAGTACAATCAAAAAAAAAAAGCAGAATTCAAAATAGGAGATACTGCATGGGGACATAAACATCCAGAAAGTTCCCAAGCACGGTCCTGATGTAACTTCCACTAATCTAGCTGTTGCCACGACTGCTGTGTGACAGGGAGGACATCCATGAGTGACTGGATCTAACCGTAGGCTATAGTAACTAACAGGTAGCTGCTGACCTCTGTGGTTTTGAGTAAGAACCCCAAAGACATTCCTGGCTGTCTCTAGGGCTTATAAAGAAAAATCGAAATTATAATTAGGAAAACCCAAAGCTGAGTAGTGAGTAGGAACTCCTTTAACCCAGAGACAGCTTGGATGCTTTCTTCTGATAATTGAAAAGTGTTGGGTGCAGGACCCTTTAACAACTGGTATAAGGGTTGGATCATTAATGAACAATTAGGAATCCATGCATGGCAGTAGCCACAGAGACCTAGAAATCCTCTTAATTGCTTCTTTATCGTGGAGATAAGGAAGGCCATACGACTTCCTTTCTGTTGGGGTCTATGGAGACCCTTTGGGCAGAGATAATGTGCCCTAAATATTTTACTGCTGGTAAAGCTAGCTGCACCTTTTCTCTGAACAATTTGTGCCCTCTGGTGGCTAAACAGAGGCCTGGTGGCTCAGTGGTTAAGAGATCGGCCACTAACCAAAAGGTCAGCGATTTGAATCCACTAGCCACTCCTTGGAAACCCTATGGGACAGTTGTACTCTGTCGTATAGGATTGCTATGAGTAAGAATCAACTTGATGGCAACAGGCTTGATTTTGGATAGTGGCCAAATGCTGTAACAGTAAAACACTATTCTCTATACAGGCTTGCAATGAATTTGAACAGACTAAAATTGTCACATACTGTAATAAGGTAGATCCCTTTGCAAACTGCAGAGGCTGCAAATCATCGTGCAAAATCTGAGGAAAATAGGTGGAAAATTCAATAAATCCTTGGTGCATGACACTTCAGGTATATTGTTGATTATCCCAGGTGAATGCAAACAAATACTGACTGTCCGAATGCACTGGAATAAAGGCACTGCATAAATCTACTACTGTAAAACGAGTTGTATTGAGGGTACATTAGACAAAAGAAGATCACGATTAGGCACAACAAGCAATCTTGGGATGACAAGATGGTTGAGTGCCCTTAAAATTTTGCACAAATCTCCACCCATGGCCATTGAGTTTCTTCCCTGGAAATACAGGAGTGTTACATGGGCTGGTGTAAGGAATAATGAGCCCTTTGGCCGGGAAATCTTGAATTATGGAGGCAAATCCATCTCTGGTCTCCCATTTTAAAGGCTATTGAGAAATATTAGGTAAAGGTTTAGATGCATCAATGTGGACTTTATTAGGTTCTGCTGACACTACCTGACGAACAAGAGCTGGTCCATAAACTTTCTGGCACAGTAAAAAGACAGTCTAAAAGTGCCATATCTCTCGGGACTTTGAGATTTGCAAAGAGAAAGCAAGTGCCTGCAGGTGTGGCATGAGACCCCCTCAGAGTCTGTTTAAAAGGATCAGGCAGATTTAATGTAATTTCTCCTTGGTCATTAACTTTGATCTAACAATTCCATTTTGATAAAAAGTCTTTTCCCAGTAAATTAACAGAAGTGTTTGAATTTAATAAAAAAGAATACATATCTTGAATAGGTCCTAAAGAAAAAGCTACTGGTTGCAAATGAGTCATAGTTTGTTCATGATTTGAAATCCCCACAACCTTTGAAGTTTTATTACTTCAATAGTAGAGGCTTTTGCAAACTTGTGGGGAATTGTGGACAGTGTGGCCCCCATATCAGTTAAGAATTTGCATGGTTCCTCATTAATTTGAGGGGTTGTTTCCCCTGGTGAATTTAGAGCCACTACTGGAAGAACCTCTAATATATCCCCAGAGTCCCTTCATTGGGGCTTGAATGGGTCTGATGGCAAAACACCAGATTTATTTTTTAATTTAAGAAGTCCTTCTTAAAATGTCCAGTCTTCTTACAATAATAGCAAAGCCCAGAGACTCCAGACTGGGCAACTCTGGACCTGTTCCCAAATTGAGGTTTAGAGCTCTGACTGCATCCTGGAGATTGTAATTGTTGTAATTGTAAACACGTAAATTTGTTTTGTCGAGCCTTTGTTTACAGCTAGGTTGCTCTAGCTTTTTGTTCTAAGGTTTGAGCTAACTTATAGGCTAAGGTGGTCAATTGTGAAATTTCAACATTCTCCCAATTTAATTGATGCCATTTAACTAGGTCAGCTAACTCAAGGTGTAGTCCTCCCACAAAAATAGAATTAAAAGCTATCCTGGCTCCTTCATCTTGCCTATTTTTATTGCTTTTTGGAAGCTTCCAAGAGACAAAGTAATAGTAAATTTGCCTCACTGCAAGATGTTTTCTCAAAGCAAGCAGAACTGATTAAGCAATTGCAAAATCGAAGTATTGTGTCTGGTCCTTTGTTGGTTGAAACTCCTTGTCCTTCTCCTCCTACTAACCCTGTTTCATCTGTCCTTCTATATACCTCTCTCTGCCTTCCCCTTCTGATAATGCCTTTTTAGAACTTCCTTATCATGAGAAGGAGGAAGAGGTTGAAGAGGAAGGGGCCAAACCTCTGGTTGAAGCAAGCCCCATAGTTGAGATGCCTTTTAAGGAGAAATACCCCAAACCTATAGTATGACAGCCTGAGGTTGCATTTGCTTCCTTATCTAAAGCAGAGCTTTGTGCCATTGTTAAAGAATTCTCCAACCCATGTAAAGATCCTCAGAAATTTAACCAAGAATTTAAAATTTTGGCAGAGGCTTATGAGCCTGGTCTGGCTAATCTGTATAACTTGTTACACATGTTGCTAGGACCTGAGAATGGATGCTCAAAGTGGATGGAAGAAAGTAAATGCAAAGAGCCTAAGAAATTATCCATCCAACCAAATGGCTCAGGTACAGAGTTGGTAACTCAGACTAAAGCTATTATACCAAATTTAATTGAATGTTTTTCAAAGATTTTTTTCACTGTAAAATTGATTGGGCTAAAGTTCAGGCTTGCAAGCAAGAAAAAGATGAAAATGATTATAACTACAGAGATCACTTAACTTTTTTATGGAACATTTGGGGTTTTGTCAATTTTATTGCATGTTAATTTAAATTACAAAACAAAAACTCTTTGTAGACAGTGTCATATAACAATCTTCAGGACAACTTTCTAGTGGTCTTTCACATGAAAATAGAGAATCTTTATTGCTGGAAATCCACATTAACCTTCGTTCCTAAACATGTTAAAACGCCTTCCTAAAACTTTTTAGAAGTATAAGATCTTCTTCCAACAGGATCAAGAATTAGTCAAATGGTTTTGAATACATACGTTATATACGGAGTTAAACAAAGTAAAATTTATTGTCAGAGTTAGAATCTGTAGTTCTCAGACATGTAAATATGTCATCCTTAAAATGAATTTTTTCCATTGATCAGGAAGTAAAAATCAATTTCTGAAGCTTTAGTGAGGATACTGCTTTTGCACAACTATTATTGCCTTCAACCCCACTGATAAGAAAGACATATTCGTTACCAGAAAACCAACGGACCCCATTGTATGTGCTTCTTTTCAGTTTTCATTCTCAGCTTGCAAGTTTAATGTTCAGAAGAGCAAAGAGGGAACAGGGAGGGTGGTGATGTGGAAAATGGGAATCAGGAACAGCTTCACCATGGAAGCCACTTTTTGTGGCTCTACTCTAGGTAAGAGCAAGTGTCTCATTCCAGCGACTCAAAGTTTTAAACAAAAGATTTAAAATATTGTACTGTAGAAAATTTGACAGTAAGTACTTTCTTTCCATTTAAATACATACTGATATTCAGTCAGTTCTGTAGAAGGAATGATTAGACAAACTTCCACTATATGATGGCTTAGTATGGGCTAAATCTTAGACTAAGACAGACTAGGAAGAAGGACCTGATGGTCTACTTCTGAAAAAATTGGCCAGTGAAAACTTTATGGATAGCAGCAGAACATTGTCTTGTATAGTGCTGGAAGATGAGCCCCTCAGGTTGGAAGGCACTCAAAATATGACTGGGGAAGAGCTGCCTCCTCAAAATAGAGTCAGCCTTAATGATGTGGCTGGAGTAAAGCTCTGGGGACCTTCATTTGCTGATATGGGATGACTCAAAATGAGAAGAGACAGTTGCAAACATCCATTAATAATTAGGACGTGGAATGTACAAAGTATGAATCTCGAAAAATTGGAAATCATCAAAAATGAAATGGAACATATAAAGATTGATATTTTAGGCATTAGTGAGCTGAACTGGACTGGTATTGGCCATTTTGAATCAGTCAATCATATGGTCTACTTTGCCAAGAATGACAAATTGAAGAGGAATGGCATCCCATTCATTGTCAAAAAGAACATTTCAAGATCTATCCTGAAGTACAATGCTGTTGGTGATAGGATAATATCCATATACCTACAAGGAAGACCAGTTAATATGACTATTATTCAAATTTATGCACCAACAACTAATGCCAAAGATGAAATCGAAAATTTTTACCAACTTCTGCAGTCCAAAATTGATCAAGCATGCAGTCAAGATGCATTGATAATTACTGCTGATTGGAATGCAAAAGTTGGAAACAAAGAAGGATAGGTAGTTGGGAACTATGGCCTTGGTGATAGAAATGATGCCAGAGAGCGCATGATAGAATTTTGAAAGACCAACAACTTAGTCATTGCAAATACCTTTTTTCAACAACATAAATGGTGATTATACACATGGACCTTGCCAGATGGAATATACAGGAATCAAATTGACTACATCTATTATGGAAAGGGACAATGGAGAAGCTCTATATCATCAGTCAGAACAAGGACACCAGCCGATTGCAGAACACACCATCAATTGCTCATATGCAAGTTTAAGCTGAAGCTGAATTAAATTAAAACAAGCCCATGAGAGCCAAAATATGATCTTGAGTGTATCCCACCTGAATTTAGAGACTATCTCAACAATAGATTTGATGCATTGAACACTAACGACTGAAGACCAGATTAGTTGTGGGATGACATCAAGAACATCATACATGAAGAAAACAAAAAGTCATTAAAAAGACAAGAAAGAAAAGACCAAAATGGATGTCAGAAGAGACTCTGAAATTTGTTTTTGAACACAGAGCAGCTAAAGTGAATGGAAGAAATGACGAAGTAAAAGAAATGAACAGCAGATTTCAAAGGGAGGCTCGAGAAGACAAAGTATTATAATGACATGTGCAAAGACCTGGAGACAGAAAACCAAATGGGAAGAACACATGCAGCATTTCTCAAACTGAAAGAACTGAAGAAAAAATTCAAGCCTCAAGTTGCAATATTGAAGGATTCTAGGGGGAAAATATTAAACAGTGAAAGAAGCATCAAAAGAAGATGGAAGGAATAAACAGAGTCACTGTACCAAAAAAGAATGTTCTGACTTTCTACCATTTCAAAAGTAGCATATAATCAAGAACCAATGCCATTTATGGAAGAAGTCCAAGCTGCATTGAAGGCAGTGGTGAAAAACAAGACTCCAGTAATTGACGGAATACCATTTGAGATGTTTCAACAAACAGATGCAACGCTGGAAGTGCTCACTCATCTATGCCAAGAAATTTGGAAGACAGCTACCTGGCCAACCAATTGGAAAAGATCCATATTTATGCCTATTCCCAAGAAAGGTGATCCAATCGAATGGGGTGATTATCAAACAATATCATTAATATCACATGCAAGTAAAATATTGCTGAAGATCATTCAAAATTGGCTAAGCAGTATATCAACAGGGAACTGCCAGAAATTCAAACTGGATTCAGAAGAGGACATGGAATGAGGGTTATCATTGCTGATGTCAGATGGATCCTGGCTGAAAGCAGAGAATACCAGAAAGATGTTTATCTGTGTTTTATTGACTTTGACTACGGAAAGACGTTCAACTGTGTGGATCATAACAAATTATGGATAACATTTCGAAGAATAGGAATTCCAGAACACTTAATGGTGCTCATGTGGAACATGTACATAGACCAAGAGGCAGTCGTTCGAACGGAGCAAGGGGATAGGATACTACGTGGTTTACAGTGAGGAAAGGTGTGCATCAGGGTTGTATCCTTTCACCATACTTAATCAATCTGTATACTGAGCATTGGGCAGATCCACTGCAAAAGACCTCTTTAAAGTGTTAAAAAGCAAAGATGTCACTTTGAGGACTAAGGTGTACCTGACCTAAACCATGATATTGTCAATCATCTCATATGTGTGCAAAAGCTAGACAATAAATAAGGAAGACTGAAGATGAATTGATGCCTTCGAATTATGGTGTTGACAAAGAACGTTGAGTATACCATGGGCTGCCAGAAGAACGAACAAATCTGTCTTGGAGGAAGAACAGCCAGAATGCTCCTTAGAAGCAAGGATAGCGAGACTTCGTCTCATGTACTTCAGACATGTTATCAGGTGGGACTAGGCCCTGAAAAAGAACATCATACTTGGTAAAGTAGAGGGTCAGCCAAAAAGAGGAACACCCTCCATAAGATGGATTGACACAGTGGCTGCAACAATGGGCTCAAACATAGCAATGATTGTGAGGATGGCGCAGGGCTGGGCAGAGTTTTGTTCTGTTGTACATAGGGTCTCTATCAATTGGAACCGACTCAATGGCACCTAACAACAGCAACGTATGATGTCTCTATTTCATCATTTCCTTTCATTTAGAAAGGGAAGTTTTAGTATGTAGACAGAATACTCTTATTGGTTTCATGAACTAATCTTCGCTTGTTTTTGTTTTTTAAAAAGGGGGCTCCTACAGATGACTCTAATGATTTAAAAAAGGTACATACTTAAAATATCAGGTAGAAATGTTTTTATTGGATTTGCTATTTGCAAAGCAAAATAGAGAGACTGAGTCTTTTATAAACTTTTATTTAAATGGAAGTATTTGGTTCTCCAAACTAAAAATAAAGTGTGTTTTTAGTCCCATTTGAGAAATCTTTTAGTCATATCTAGCATATCTAAAGCAGTTAGAAAACTCTACATTACGATAAATGTCACCTGATCAGAAAATGTATCAACTCAAAGCAAAATACTAGAAATCAGTGTAGGTAATTTCTGCCTTTTTTTAAAGCAGAAGCTTCTTTGAAACTGAAGTAAGATTATTTATGATGATGAAAACATTTTTTCATAAAATCTTAACCGAAGTTTTGCTTAAAGGGATTATTTGGACTGTTTGTAACTGATAACCAAGCATCCCACAACTGTTTTGAATTTTCTTCTGCCTTACAACATAAACTAATCTGAGTTAAATCCACTTTGATCGAGGTGATGGAGAGGGAGTGAGACAAAGTAATCAGCGGTTACGTAATCTGTCCCAAAGAAGAAACTCAAAAGGAGAGGATAAGGAATCACATCAGAAGTTTTGTTTATACTCTGTTTTGCAACTTAGGCCTGCCTGCTAAGGAAAAATGGTTAACTGATCCTCAAGGGTGGATAAATGTATTGATGTTTTAGGTAACAAACGAGGCACTCATTTCAACACAAAAGACTTGGAGTCAATGGGATATCATTTTTGTGATTCTCTCTTGGACTATTGTGATCCTGACCGGGCCAAGGTAAGCGAAGTCCATTTGGGTATGCATTAGACTCCAGCCTGACTATGGGCCTATGCCAGTTTCTTCCTTTTGGTATCTTAAGAGAGTTTGGGGGGTGTTGGTACTTGATAAAGGAGCCCTGGTGTCACAGTGGTTAAGTGCTCGGCTGCTAACCAAAAGGCCAGTGGTTCAAACCCACCAGCCTCTCCATGGGAGAAAGATATGGCAGTCTGCTTCTGTAAAGATTACAGCCTTGGAAACTCTGTGGGGCAATTCTACTCTGTCGGAATCAACTCGATGGCAACGGAGTAATGGGTACTTGATGCCCAATAGCTATTGTTCCAGGTGTCTATAAATAGTCAATTGGTTTAATTAAGAAATAAACTTATTTTAAAATTAACTCATTTATGATTTTTGTCTAGTATTTTCAATGCCTGAAAGAATTAGAGGAAATGGAGAAGCATATTAACTTAGAAAAAATCTTTGATGATTCAGATACTTCTCTGATAGAAATTACAGTGGATCTAGAGTCTAGGTAAGTCAAGACTATGAAAGTGAAGTAATTTGTTGTACTGTTTTCTATGCTGTTTATAATAATATTATAATATTATTGTTAGTTTCAACTGCAGATCCCAGCTATAGAGGAGGGAAGTTTATTTCCATGAACATTAGTTGGATCAGACTTCATTAAGACTTGATTCATTCATTTATTCAGGCAGTATTAATTGGGTACCTGCAATGCACAGTGTACTCTAAGACAGTCTCAAAATTGTTTATAATGATGACTTTACTCACAGAGAACTGACACTTTCGTTGAGATGACACATAAATGCTATAAGATAGTATATAGTAAGTGCAAAATTCAATGCTAAGGGAATATTGTTGGAAGAAGGAAGGTACTAATTTTAGTACAGTTCCTATAGGAAAGGCAGAATAAATGGTTGATTCTTTCCCTCTATTTATATATTTTCCACTTTTGAGTTAGTGACCTTGCCACCTCCAGTGCTGACTAATAAGTTTATTTGCAGGTGGAGAGTATAATTTTGAACTCATGGATTTGTTGATATTTGATGTGTTCCAATCAGTTTCAGCCATTATTCTCCTCAGGCTCAAATTTTCTCCTGTCTGGCCAGTCAGAGACACTTGGAGTTGCCTCCTGTGTGTTTTTGACATGACCTTGGTTGTCTTCGGTAATTTTCAGCCATGATAAGATTTTCTAGGCTCTTCTTGAACATTTCCTGCACCAAAATTGGAATCCAACATTTCTCCAATAAACTCCAGTTCCTTTTAGTGAAAAGTAGTATTTGGGTAATTCAACCTGGATGGTAGTGATTGCTTCTAGGCTGTTTTCAGGGAACTGAGCTAGGAAAATATGTATTTTTAGGAGAGAAAAAAAATACAAGTTCATACTGATATTTCTAATTCAAATTTAAGATGATAGGGTGTATTCTTCCTTAATCCTACTCTTCTTATTTATATCTCTTTTCTCTAATGCTGAAAATCTTTGTTCCTAGTTACATTCATGTAAATACTTACTTGCTTTATCCTACGATATACCCAGAATATTGCTACCAACAAAATGACTATTGAAAGCACCTTAAGATGTCTTTGTAATTCTTTTTAGCCTTAGTATATATCCTACTTGGGATATACAATAAAATTCTACTTTGAAGTATTAAAAAAAGAAAAGGAATTATTTTCTCTGTGCAGAGAAAATTTCCCATGTGTACCAGTTTGACCGACAGTTAAGTTCCTTTGCTTTTGCTTGTTTTTAATTTGTAGGAATGACCTCCCCGCCTTTTGATTATTTTTAAATTTTCTAACTATATAAAACTTTTACATGATAAGAAATTCAAAACTATATACTAAGGAATATTCACAGGAGTCGGGATTCCATCTCTGTCTCCCTCCCCGCTCCTCCATGTCTCTTCCCTTGCCCTGTGAGTAACCATTTTCAGTAGTTTTTTATTTATCCTTTCATTGTTTCACTTTGAATAAATGAGTGAGTAGTTATATCTGTTATACCACCCTTATATAAAGCGTAGCACACATCATTCTGTATCTTGCTTTTTCTACTTATTGTAATCTGGAAATCACTATACATTATCCGTATGTAGAGATTTACCTGGTTTCTGCATAGGGCTCCAAGACGTGAATATACTATTGTTTCCTGAATCTGCCTTCTATTGACAAACATTTGAAAATCACTTACTTTTAAATGTGGTTTTAAATCAGGATAAGAGTTAGAAATGAGATTGTCCTGGAGGAGTTTGTCTTAAGAATAAATAAAGAAATGGTTAAGTTTTTCACGCATACTCTTAGTTTATTGCAAGGTAGTCATGGCAAGGCATGAAATGCAGACCTCAAGACATTCATTCATTTAGCCTTGAAGAATCAGAACTGACAATTACAATGTTAGTTTAAATGTTACAGTCCAAATCTCTAGACTTCAGGCTTTTCCCTTGAATGAGTGGTCTCAGAGAGGAGACTTGATCATCCCTTGAACTCAGAGGAGATCCCCTGTAGCTAGGATCCAAGGTCAGTTATGGTGAGCTTATCAGAGCAGGATCTCAGTCTTCAGATGGAAAGGCAGAGGAACCTTTTGCTTCTGTCTTCTTCTCTGAAAATAAGCAGAAATCCACAGGTTTATATACCAAGTGTGCTGTCGTATTTAACTATGATTGGTATGCTTTATTGCCAATTAAGGAAGTTGTTGCATGACGTATTTATATTTTGCTAATTGGTAGAGATTCGAATTGTTGCCAATTAGGGCATGACATATTTATGTTCTTGTTTACTACATATGTTTCAAGGCCAAGCTGATTAATTAAAAATAATGGGAATTGTTCAATGACATATTTATGTTGTGTTAATTTATAGAGATTTTATTTATTAGAAATTAAGAGGGTTGTTATATGATGTATTTATGTCCTTGCTTACTACATTCTTCACATCTATTATCAATTCCCAAGGTTAGAACAACTTTCTAATGACTTATATTTATAGTTTTTAATAACTTACAATTAATAGTTGGAGAGCATTATAGAAGTATACATGTTCCTAACTTCCGAGTATAAGTGACTTATACATAGATGTTTAAAAGCATTATAAAAACATTTAATAGTGTAAAAGGCATTATAGACACATACATAATAGTGAAGTGATTTGAGAACATCACAAAAACAGAGATCAAATAAGATAGTGTATAAAGAAATCCTTCGTAACTTGGTACTGTAAAATACTATATAAATAATATCATGTGTTATTATCCATCTAGAATAGCTTTTAAGATATTCAGAACTTTCTGGGAAATTGAGACATTAACTTGGTTTTCTAGCTCCAACATGCTCATCTGAAGGAGCCTGTAGAATGGTTTTTGAGGTTGTAGAATTATTCCATGTTGGTTATTTCTCTTTTTGGAAACTTCATAACATATGACACAGAATGAAGAAATGGTCATTCTTACATGTGCAAGACTATTACAAGTGTGCTACTTATGTATATCTTCCTTTTTAAAAAGGAAATTGATAAGCATCACCTACTTTCTGTGGAGATTTTAAAAGATTTCAAAAGACAGTTTCTAAATATTGGAAGAAGTTAGCATGTAGAAGAAAGAAGGTGTGGCTTCATTCTGTGCTTGAGAGAACATGGCCAGCTAAGACCACTAGGTGCAAAATATGTGAAGCAGATTTTCTGTACAATAAAACGAAGATCTCTCTAATACTAAGAGCTAACACTGATATGGGTTACTGGATAGCAGTGAGTTCCTTGTCACTGGAAATGTTCAGCCATGGGAGTTATTAAAATAATTCCTGTATTGTGAGAAAGACTGGATTGCATTATTTCTAAGAGTCCTTATGATGGATACTGTCTAACTTGGTAATATATATGAAGCTGATAAAAAAATCTTCCAATAGATAAGAAATATACATATAAAGTATATGCTGCTATTCAAAGTCTTTGAATTTTTTAGAAAAGTAAGTATAAATTAAGTAGAAAATATATTATTATAAAGCAAGTAGAAAAATAGAATTCTCATTGTAGATTTCCCTACTGTTCCTGTCATGAAGTCAAGACTGGTATTAACAATAGTTAGGATATATCCATTCAATTAAAATAATGTGTTCAGATTTTTATTTCTTTCATAATTTTGGTTACCTTCATTCATGGAGGCATAGGTGAAACACATCAGGTCAGATTAAGAGACTCTTAACTTTCTGGTCATATGTTGCAGCCTTCTATACAATTGTAGGAATTTCCATATTACAGAAGGAGAATTCAAGGCCTACAATGAGTCAAATTCAGTCCAATCCTCTTGCCTTTGGCTGTCTGTAAGCTGCATCTAGCATATAGAAAAAAATAAGTTAAATGGATTTCCCAGGAAGGCCACTATTATAAGCACACTTTAGCTGGATCTGAGAAGTAAATTTTTTTTTAAATCAGTGGGTCTTAACTTGCGAGTGCAGAGGGGCAGTTTTCCAAATAAAATTTAATTTCCTCTTACAGCTGCTGCTGAAAAAAGAAAAATAAATGTGCTTCAACATAAGTAAATGCAGAAGTTTCTTTGGTTTAAAAGGATTGTTGGTTTTCTAATTTGCGATGGAAAGTCTCTCCTTTTAAAGAATGCAATATTTAATAACACCAGGACAAACAATAATTAAGTAGCTTAAGAGGTAGTCAAGAAAAGAAAGATAAAAAAGCTTTAAAAATGATCCGTACTTAATGACAAAATATATTCTAATGCACATTTAATCAGATACTACAGTAAATACTAGTTATGTGGTTTCTTAGCCAAAAAAAAAAAAAGAGACTTAACTGATGGAGAAATAATAAAAATATGTTTAAGAACATGAGTATGTGGGTGTACATCTTATTGTGTATATAAAACTACATATGCACACCTAAATGTGTTTGTTTATTTTTAAAATACAATCCAGAAATATTTTCTTTCCTGAACTGGCTCTCAAGCAAAAAATGTTGCCCACCACTCCGCTATGCGGTTGCAATTAGAATAGATTTCTGTGTGACTATTTAGTCTCAAGCTACCCTGTTTTTTATGGTCCTGAATTGCCTTTAAGCAGAATGGAAATGAAATGATGTAAAAATAATGAACTTTAAGAGCTGATGATACCCCTGAGAGCTAGGAAACTCCCGAATATAGCATTTATTCATTCATTTATTAACCAATATTTTTTGAGTGCCTACTATGTGCCAGGCACTATTTTCACTCTGGTGATACAGCAGTGAGCCAGAAGGATGAAAATGCCTACTTCTCTGAAGCTTACACTCCACTGACACAGCCCAACTGAGCCATCTCTCTCCATACATTCAACAAGAAGACCTCTGCTTCTAAGCTGTCTGAACGACCAAACACCTAAATCTCTCTTTGCAAACAGTCTTCTTATTCTTATCATTAGAACTATTTCTATCAATTCCAATATGATAAAAAAAAAAAAAATAAAAGCATCAGTTGAAATTTGAAAATGCCACCCAAACATTCTGTAAACTAAAATTATTATTATTTTTTGTAGTAGCCGAGGCTCGGACAGTTCTGAATCCAATGACTCTCAGCCTTATCTTCTCAAGTTAACTTCTCAGGTATGATTGAACATTTCTGCCTATGGTATAGATATGCTAAATAGCTACTCTTCTTATTGTGACTAACAGGCAGGCAGTTGTATAATTATTGTGTACAATAATTGTTCATTTGTTTAGCCACAATAACCTATTTTAATTATCACTAATATAATATCAACATATATATTAACAACAGCATTTATTTATCAACAATAATTGTTATTTCCTGATTACGTACCATAACTTTAATCATAGAATTTTCTAACTTTAGGGACTTTTTTTTTGTTTTTTTTTATAAATAATTTTATTTTGTTGTTGAGAATATACACAGCAGAACATAAACCAATTCAGCAACTTCTAAATGTACAATTCAGTGACATTGATTACATTCTTTGAGTTGTGCAACCATTCTCATCCTCCTTTTCCAAATTGTTCCTCCCCCATTAACATAAACTCACTGCCCCCTTAGGTTCCTAGCTCATCTTTCAGGTTGCCATGGTCAATTTGATCCCATATAGATAGTTCTTGAAAGAGCACAATACTCAAAGCAGAAATATTTACTAATTAAGCTAAACTATTGTTTGGTTTGAAAAAGAGGAAGACCCTCAACAAGATGGATTGACATAGTGGCTGCCACAATGGGCTCAAGCATAACAATGACTGTGAGGATGGCACAGGACTGGGCAGTGTTTTGTTCTGTTGTACATTAGGTTACTATGAGTCAGAACATCTTGACATCACCTAATGACAACAACGACATTGTTTGGTTTAAAGAAGAGTTCAGGGAATATTTTTAGTTTAAAGTTTAAAGATTATCTCAGGGCAATAGTTTCAGAGGTTCATCCAGCCTAAATGGCTCCATAAAATCTAGATTCCATGAGAATTTGAAATTCCGTTCTACATTTTCTCCTTTTGATCAGGCAGGATTCTTCTATGGAATCTTTGATCAAAATGTTCCATAATAGTAACCAGGCACCTTCCAGTTCTTCTAGTCTCAAGGCAAAGGAGGCAGTTGTTCATGGAGGTAATTAGCCACACCTTCCATTTCCTCCTCCTATTCCTGGACAATAAATAAGGAAGACAGAAGAAGAATTGACACCTTTGGATTATGATGTTGGTGAAGAACATTGAATATGCCATGGACTGCTAGAAGAACAAACAAATCTGTCTTGGAAGAAGTACAGCCAGAATGCTCATTAGAAGTGAGGATGGCAAGACTTCATCTCATGTACTTTGGTCATGTTATCAGGAGGGACCAGTCCTTGGAGAAGGACATCATGCTTGGTAAAGTAGAGGGTCAGCGAAAAAGAAGAAGACCCTCAATGAGATGGATTGACACAGTGGCTGCAACAATGGACTCAAGCATAACAACAATTGTGAGGCTGGTGCAGCACCAGGCAGTGTTTCATTCTGTTGTACATAGGGTCGCTGTGAGTTGGAACCGACTCAATGGCACCTAACAACGACATTCCTGATGCTCCTTCTTCCTTTGTTGCTCCAGGTGAATAGAGGCATCACTGGCTGTTGACCATAGGCCTTCCTCTGTTCCTTGCAATGATGGAACCCAGCTGGATACCATCCGAGCAAACAAGAGAAAAAAAAGAGAGCATGAAGGATGGAAGCTACAATCTTTGTAACCTAATCTCAGAAGCAACATCCCATCACTTTTGCCATATTCTATTCATTAGAAGTGAATCACTACATTCAGCCCAGACTCAACGGGAGAGGATTACACAGGGCATGAATACCAGGAGGTAGGGATCATTAAGCACCATCAAAGAGGTGGCTATACCCTTAATTTGACTTTATCTGGAAATAAGGTCTTTGCAGATGTAATCAAGTTAAAATGAAGTTATACTGGATTAGGATGGCCCCTAAATCCAATGATTGGTGTTCTTATAAGAAGAGGGAAATTTGGACACAAACACACAGAGACACAAAGGATACATACACAGGTGTTATGGATTGAATTGTGTCCCCCAAAAGTGTCTGTCAACTTGGCTAGGCCATGATTCCTAGTGTTGTGTGATTGTCCCCCATTTTGTCACCTGATGTAATTTTCCTATGTGTTGTAAATCCTACCTCTATGATGTTAATCAGGTGGGATTAGCGGCAGTTATGTTAATGAGACAGGACTCAATCTACAAGATTAGGTTGTGTTTTAAGTCAATCTGTTTTGAGATATAAAAGAGAGAAGCCAGCAGAGAAACAGGGGGACCTCACACCACCAAGAAACAAGAGCCAGGAAAATAGCACATCCTTTGGATCCAGAGTCCTTGCGCTCAGAATTTCCTTGCCGGGGAAAGATTGATTACAAGGACCTTCCACCAGAGTAGATAGAGAGAGAAAGCCTTCCCCAGGAACTGGCACCCTGAATTTGGACTTCTAGCCTCCTAGACTGTGAGAGAATAAATTTCTCTTTGTTAAAGCCATCCACTTGTGGTATTTCTCGTTATAGTAGCACTAGATACCTAAGACAACAGAAAAGAAGCCCGTTGGACGACGGAGGCAGAGATTGGAGTGATGCAGTTACAAACCAAGGGACACCAAGAATTGCCGGCAACCACCAGAAGCTAAAAAGAAGAAGGGAAGGATTATTCCTTAGAGCCTTCTGAGGGAGCATGACTCTGCCAATACCTTGATTTCAGACCTCTAGCCTCAGGAGTGTGGGAGAACAAATTTATGTGTTTGACTCAGTTTGTGGTAATTCATTACAGCCACCCTAGGAAACTAACACAGTTCCCCATTCAACCTTGGTTGGCCTGGGTGGGATGGGGCCACAGTTTTTGGTGATATTCAGTTAAAGTATAGCGGTTATTATCTAAAAGTGTTCTATCCAAGCTGCCCCTTTTTTGGTCCTTTGGACAGAGAAAAGAAGTTTTTGGTGGAGTGTTTGTTTGTTTGTTTGCCCGCACCCATTGGCATTTATGGCTTGCTAGCTTCTCCTGCAGCAAATCTGTGGTGTATGAAACAAGAAGAAAACCTAGGGAATGTATCCCTGTGTCAGTCCTCTGATCCTAAAGTCTTTAGTCAGTCTACCTTCTTCTCTTCACCCTTCAGAGTCTTCTTATACTACTTTTATATGTAATGCCCAGGACTTTTTAGTTGTATTTAGAGGGAGAAATAGTGAAAATTATCTTCTGTTAAAACAAAAATCATATTAAGCCAGTAATAAAAATTGATTGGAGTTTATTTAATATACGATTTGCAAATCAGGGTAACATTTCGACTACAGAGTCAAAAATGTTCTGAAGATGAGAGAACCTCCAAAGAGTCTTATACCCCATCTTATCAACATTGCCATAGAAATGGGGCCAGAGCAGTGTTTTCATAATAACTTACCCTGAACACACAGTTTCTAGTCTGACCTTGAAATATTCTGTTTCTCAAAACTGACTGCACATAGATAATTCTTCAAAAGAACACAATGCCCAAGGCAAAACAATCTAGACTGTTGTTTGACTTAAGGGTAACTTTTAGGAAACTAATTTCCTCAAGGCCAAAGGTTCAAAGATCATCTCGAGGCCAAGGCTTGGATATGTCACCCTATCCTCCATGGAGCCCAGAAATCTGGATTCCAGGAGAATTAAACTCCATTCCACACTTCCTGGAAGTGGAAGTCCCAAGGTAGTCTGCGTATATACTGGTTTTGATGTTTTGATTAAATAATGATTTTATATCTGGTTCTATTATCTAGCTAAAACCCAAGAAATATCTGAAAACAAGGAAGGAAAGAAATTCTACTATAGAAAGCCATAAAAATGCCAGAGAAGAACAAGAGGTAAATCTTATTGATTCTTGTTAACGTTTATTGGAAAAAAATGATTGCAGAAAATGGTAAGTTATTTCTTCTTACACTTTCTTTACCTTGTTTTTCCCCAGAAAGAGTTAATGATTAAATTTTGCTTGTCTTATTTACTCTTTATGAAACTACAAAAGAACCTTGAGATCAGCTCCTAAAAATGGACGTGTCACTCAGAGAGAAGAGCCTCATTGTCTCCACCACCAGCTTGCGAGCCCTGGCTCGGAGATTTTGCCTTGGGATAGGGAGGAAGCCCTCACTCATCTGTCAGTTTGTTGTACTGTAGGGGCTTGCATGTTGCTGTGATGCTGGAAGCTATTCCACCAGTATTCAAATACCAGCAGGGTCACCCCTGGCAGACAGGTTTCAGCTGAGCTTCCAGACTAAGACAGACTAGGAAGAAGGACCTGGCAGTCTACTTCTGAAAAGAATTAGCCAGTGAAAACCTTATGAATGGCAGTGGAACACTGATACAGTGTCGGAAGATGAGTCCTTCAGGTTGGAAGACACTCAAAAGATGATTGAGGAAGAGCTGCCCCCTCAAAATAGAGTCAACTTTAATGACGCAGATGGAGTCAAGCTTTTGGGACCTTCATTTGCTGATGTGACATGATTCAAAATGAGAAGAAACAGCTGCAAACATCCATTAATCGGAACATGGAATGTACAACGTATGAATCTAGGAAAATTGGAAATTGTCAAAAATGAAATGGAACCCATAAACATCAATATCCTTAGCATTAGTGAGCTGAAATGGACTGGTATTGACCATTTTGAATCGGACAATCATGAGGTCTACTATGCCAGGAATGACATCTTGAAGAGGAATAGTGGTGTATTACATAGGGTCACTATGAGTCGGAACCGACTGGACAGCACCTAACAACAATAACATTATATATGGGAGGAGCCCTGGTGGCACAGTGGTTAAGAGCTCGGCTCCTAACTGGAAGGCTGGCAGTTCGAATCTACCAGCTGCTTCACCGGAGAAAGATGTGGTAGTCTGCTTCCATAAAGATTACAGCCTAGGAAACCCTATGGGACAACTTTATTCTATAGGGTCACTATGGGTTAGAATCAACTCAAGGGCAATGAGGTTTTTTCTGTTTTTTGTTTTTGGTTTTATTATATACAGGAGTTGCTGTGTGGTGTAAATTGTTAATGTGCTTGGCTGCTAACTGAAAGGTTGGAGGTTTTCAGGCCCTTTAGGAGAGTTCTTTATAATATCAATATGCCTAAGATGCAGATACAAAAGTTTGGAAGCATTTAAAATGTTTTCATGGTCACATAACGATGTGTAGACTATTCAAGATTAGTCAATTGTGATTCTACACTGTTTTGTGTCTATTAGTCCTACTGGGTCTATCGTAGTTATCTAGTGTTGCTATAACAGAAATACCACAAATGGATGGCTTTAACAAACAGAAATTTGTTCTCTCACAGTCTAGTAGGCTAGAAATCCATTCGAATTCAGGGTGCCAGTTCCTGGGGGAGGCTTTCTCTCTTTGTCAACTCTGAAGGAAGGTCCTTGTCATCAATCTTCCCCTGGCCTAGGAGCTTCTCATTACAGGGATCCTGGGTCCAAAGAACACCCTCTACTCCTGCCACTACTTTCTTGGTGGTATGAGGTCCCGTTGTCTCTCTGCTAGCTTCTCTCTTGTATATCTCAAAAGAGATTGATTCAAGATACAATCTAATCTTGTACATTGAGTCCTGCCTCATTAACATAACTGCCTCTAATCCCACCTCATTAACATCATAGAGGTAGGATTCACAACACATAGGATAATCACATCAGATCACAAAATGTTGGACAATCACACAATACTGGGAATCATGGCCTAGCCAAGTTGACAGACATTTTTGGGGGACACAATTCAATCTGTAACATTCCACCCTTTGGCCCCCATAATGCATTCCCTTGTCACATGTAAAACACATTCATCCCATCATATTATAGGAAAAGTCTTAATTCAACTCCAAGTCCAAAATCCAAAAATTCATCTTCATCTGTGAAATCTAGAATACAAGTCATCTGCTTCCAAAGTACAATGGTGGAACAAACAGAATCGACATTTCCAATACAAATGGGAGAAATTGGAGGGAAAGAAGGGATTACAGGCACCAAGCAAGTCAGCAGAACACATTACATTAGCCCTCAAGGCTTGAAAATTATCCTCTATTCTCTGAGACCTTTTAGACAATGGCCCTGCCCTCCAGACTCTAGGTATTAGCCGCACCCTCCAAATTCTGAGTGGAGGCCCCTTAGCCCTGAGCTTCAGCTCCACCTTCTAGGCCCACTGGAATGGCAACTCTGCTCCCTCAAATTTGGGCAGCCCCATTCTCCTAGTCCATCTGAGTGGCAACTCCACCCTCTGAGACCCCAGAGGTCATGGCCCTACCCTTTGAAACTGAGGCAGCTCTGCTTCCTGTGTTCCTTGCCTCTTCAACTTCTGCTTCCTGGTTCCTTGGCCTCTTGACCCCTTCGGCCTTACTGCCTGTGTCTGCCCTGCTGGGGTAAGTGTTCCGAAGCTCTTTAGCTCCAACAATAAGTGCCTGGAGGCACCCTACTCCACCAGTAAACTTCGGCCAGAGGGCACTCAACTCCCTTGCTCCGTGGGTCAGCAAGCCTAGCTCCACTGATAAGTGCCCAAAGGCACCCCATTCCACCAGGATACCTCCTATGCAAAGACGCTCAGCTCTGTTGCTGCATGAGTTGGCTCCGTTGCTGACTGGCACGGGTCTCCTGGTTCTGCTGCTGCCATTTGTCTGCTGCTCCCGTCTGCACCATCTCCAGTGTAACAGCTCTCCTCACTTTCTTCTGAGTCCTCACCAGAATTGTCTCTGACGTCCATAATTCCAACAACAGTCTCTTCAGGGCAATCTAGGCTTTTACTATTAGGCACTTTAAAACTCTTCCAGTCTCTATCCATTCACAGTTTCAAAACTGCTTCCACATTTTAGGTATCTGTTAGAGCAGCACCCCACTCCTGGTACCAAATTCTGTCTTAGTCATCTAGTACTGCTATAACAGAAATACCACAAGTGGATGACTTTAACAAACAGAAATTTATTCTCTCATAGTCTAGTAGGATAGAAGTCTGAATTCAGGGTGCCAGCTCCAGGGGAGGGCTTTCTCTGTCAGCTCTGGAGGAAGGTCCTTGTCATCAATCTTCCCCTGGCCTAGGAGCTTCTCATTACAGGGATCCTGGGTCCAAAGGACACACTCTGCTCCTGCTACTACTTTCTTGGTGATATGAGGTCCCCCTGTCTCTCTGCTAGCTTCTCTCTTGTATATCTCAAAAGAGATTGACTCAAGACACAACATAATCTTGTACATTGAGTCCTGCCTCATTAACGTAACTGCCTCTAATCCTGCCTCATTAACATCATAGTGGTAGGATTTACAACACATAAGATAATCACATCAGATCACAAAATGTTGGACAATCACACAATACTGGGAATCATGGCCTAGCCAAGTCGACAGACATTTTGGGGGGATACAATTCAATCCATAATGGGGTCATATTGGCAACTCCTTTCCAGACAGAAAACAACGTCATATGTGTATACTTTTTCTCACTCTAGCCTTCTTTACAAGCTTCAAGAAAATATTTTTTATAATTTTTACATAAGCACAATTTTATAATCTGCTTATATATTTTCATACAATTTTATATATTTTCACCTATTTCACACTGTTCTTACATCTTTATTCTTGTGATTTAAGTAAGTGAGATTGTAAGTATACATTTTTGTCTCCTTTTCACCATGAATAAGTTCTAGTTAAGTGGAAATTTTTAAAACTTCCTTTAGTGTCAAAATCTATTATCAATATCTTCCTCCACTCATTGCTACAGGAGAAAAGTTGTGTTGTGAAAGATGTTAGAAGGTTCTGATTTAAAAGCTGTTTGGGGCCATTCTAAATCAATGAAGATAAAGTGAGACAATGTTTGTTGAAAACCCACTCTACCATAAATCACATAGGAAAGATTCTACATATTCATGTTTAATAATATAATGTGGTTTTCCTTCTGGTTCTGTGCTGCATTAGGTTTGCGGTAGAGAACATTTACAGCAAAGACACAACGAATCGAATGCTGATTTGAAAGGTAAGGTTCTGCCTCCAATGTCTGGTGAAGAATTAATTCAAGCTAAGTGTTGCATTATAGGTGCAAGGACAGAGTCTATACAGGGTTCCAAGGAGGCAGAAGGAAAGGAGTGGCCACTTATATTGGAGGTTTGGGGTAGTCTATGTACTTGAGAGATGTCTGTGATTTGAAAGGTTTTCCCCCAGAGAGAGTATAATGGTTTTATGTTTTGAAAACCATCTTGTTCCTCTTCATTTCACAACACAATAGAGGATGAGCCCAGGAGATAAATTTTAGACTGTGCATTCACTTCTTCGGAAAACTTCTAAGTCTGGTATTAACCTTTAACTGACTCTCTAGCAACTGTGGTGTTATTTTCTTCATTTTTATCTCATTGTCTTCAGTTGAGGTCCTTTGAAAGAATTAATACAGTTTAAGCAAGATTTTATTTTTACCTAATATAATTCTTTAATTGAATGTGTATATGTAGTAATGTATTATACATTTATACCCCACCTACTTCCAAAAAGTATTTGAGGTACCTTATTTAAGAATATGTAAACATGTACATATATCTATTTTTGTTTATGATATAATAAAAGTAGAAAAAGTTGAAAGTAGAAAAGGAGGTAAGAACCACACCAAGGAAAATGGAGAACTCGATCATAACTAGGAGCCCTGCTGGTGCCGTGGTTAGCATTTGGCCGCTAACCAAAAGGTTGGTAGTTCAAATCCACCAGCCACTCCTTGGAAACCTTTTGGGGCAGTTCTACTCTGTCCTATAGCGTCGCTATAGTCAGAATCGACTCGATGGCAGCAGGTTTGGTTTGGGTATCACAACTAAGATGCAATGGTTAATTCACTTGAACTTTAAATAGACTATTCTTTCTGATAGTGATTAGGTAAGCAATTCATCATTTTTATGTATTTTGTTAAACATTTAATACAAAAACTTAGAAGTAAAAATAAGTGAATAAAGTAAAAATCACTTTTAGAATATTTATTTCAGAAGTTTTTCTGCATCTATGCACATATACTCCATGTTGTATGAATTAATCATAATCTCCTTGTTGTTTTGTGATTGACTTTTTCATTTAAAATTATGGTATATCATAAATCTCTTTTCACGTTGACAAGTGACGGCAAAGTATTCCATTGTATTATTGACCCTTCATGTATTTAGTCATTCCCCATTGTTAAGCCTCTAGTTTGTTTCCAGTTTTTTCTATTGTAAACAACAATGATGAACCTTATAACTCTCTATATGTGGGTGTTCTTAATTGTTTCTTTAGAATAAATTCCTAGAAAGTGAATTGCTCGCCTAAAGGGTATGTGTATTTCTAAGACATTTGCTATAAATTGTAAAAATGCAACATAAATTCATAAGATTTGTGGACTGTTTATCTTAATAGCATTGAGTTAACTGTTTCTACTTTTTTTGATAGCATTTTTAATTTAGAAAAATATGAAATTAGTAGGGTCAAAAAATTATTTTTATGCTACTAATGATCTTTTACCATCTCCTGTAGGTACAAGGCCACATGGATCAGGAGAATATATATTTGAGTATTTCGGAAGACAATTCCCTAATCAAGGTTTGGGTGAGTAAAATGGGAATAGAGTAGTGAGTGGTCACCTATCATCTGAAGATGAACTGTAATACACACATCTGATAAAAATCGACATGTAAGGAACTAAAAGTTTGTCTTCAAATCAAATGGTCAAGGAACAGATCACCTTCCCAGAAATTTTGAAACTCAAATTTTTGTTTTCCTCTGTAACTCTAGAAATACATAGGGGAAACCAGTAGAAATTCCTTATATGTCTGTTTGCTTCCTTGTAATTTTATCTAGGCAAAAAAAAAACATTCAACTCATTATCTCTTCTTTCCGTTCCCATCTCACTGAATATTAAAGCAGAGAGGAACATTGAAAGAACTCTCATCTCATTCAGCCTTTGACTGACTGCATTTGTTGACAAGTTACTGTCGCTGTTGTTGTGTGCCATCAAGGGGATTCCAGCTCATAGCAACCTTATAGGACAGAGTAGAACTGCCCCATAGGGCTTCCTAGGCTGAAATCTTTATGAGAGCAGATCACCAGGTCTTTTTCCCCTAGGAGCATCTGGTGGGTTCAAACCACAGACCTTCCGGTTAGCAGACGAGTGCTTAACCACTGAGCCACCAGGGCTCCTGCCCTCTCTAGGACCATAAAATAAAGAGATACAGGTCTTTAAGGAAAACAATTCTGACTGACTAGTTTTCCCTGATTCTCCTTAAAATAATGAGAACAATTGTAATGCCTCTTCTACTTGATCTTAAGAATCTTTTAAAATCCTATCATTTATTTCCCTGAAATTTTCCTTCCATTTCTTTCAACCATTCCTAAGATGACAGGATCAAGTCCATTTACCATCTTATTTCAGCTTCTTCTGTGTAACTCTTCCAGCTTGAATGAAACGGGACACAGTAGTGCAGCTGTCACCTACCGAGTGCCCAGTAAATCAGCATTCTCGTTTACTTCGTTCTAGATACTAGATTTCCATCAACACGATCTCAGGTCGCGTTTGTTCTTTTGAAAAGTATCCTCTACTATTAACGGATTGATTTTACAACTACTCAAACCTCAAAATTTTGTTTTCATACTGCTGCTGGTAAATTGTGTCTCCTCTCCTCTCTACTTCTACGGTTGGTATTGTAGTTGACTATGCTGGGTCTTAAACTTTTTCCTCTTAGATTTGATCTCCTTAGATTCAGCCTCTCAGGAGCTATTCATTATGTCATACTTGTTGTACCTTTAAGCATCTTGTCATCTATACCTTTGGCAGGCAGGCCCTCTATAATTTCAATTTTCATTCAGAATATACAAAATATATATATATATACATTATGTATATATTTTTTGCATGTGTATATAGGAACATATATACATATACATATCTGTGTGTCCATGTATATAAATAGAACCATCATTCCTACTCAGTCTCCTTTTTAAGTACTTACTCCTTTTTCTAACCCATGAATATAGCTCCACAAGCTTCTGCCTCTGGCTTTCTATTTTCATTCTACACACTCTCCTAAAGATACCATCGATTCTCTTTGTTTTAACTACTATCGAAATGACTCCCAAGCTTATATCTCCAGGTCTAATCTCTTGTGAAAGCTTCAGACTCTTATATTTAAGTGTCTCCTATATATCTCCTGGACAATGAATAAGTTGCCGTTTACGTTGTTGAAAAAAGGTATTTGCAGTGAAGAAGTCTTTGGTCTTGCAAAGTTCTATCATGTGATCTCTGGCATCGTTTCTATCACCAAGGCCATATTTTCCAACTACCGATCCTTCTTTGTGTCCAGCTTTTGCGTTCTAGTCACCAGTAATTATCAATGCATCCTGATTGCGTATTCAATCAAGTCAGACTGCAGAAGTTGGTAAAAATCTCCAATTTCTTCATCTTTGGCCTTAGTGGTTGGTGCGTAAATTTGAATAATAGTTAGATTAACTGGTCTTCCTTATAGGCATATGGATATTATCTTGTCACTGACAGCATTGTACTTCAGGATAGATCTTGAAATGTTCTTTTTGACGATGAATGCAACGCCATTCCTCTTCAAGTTGTCATTCCCGGCATAGTAGCCCATATGATTGTCTGATTCAAAATGGCCAATACCAGTCCATTTCAGCTCACTAATGCCTAGGATATGGAGGTTTATGTGTTCCATTTCATTTTTGGCGATTTCCAATTTTCCTAGATTCATGCTTTGTACATTCCACATTCCGATTATAAATGGATGTTTGCAGCTGTTTCTTCTCATTTTGAGTCATGTCACATCAGCAAATGAAGGTCTCAAAAGCTTAACTCTAATTATGTCGTTAAGGTCGACTCTACTTTGAGGAAGCAGCTCTTCCCCAGTCATATTTTGAGTGTCTTCCAATCTGAGAGGCTCATCTTCCAGCACTATATCAGGCAATATTCTGCTGCTATTCATAAGGTTTTCACTGGATAATTCTTTTCAAAAGTAGACTGCCGGGTCCTTCTTCCTAGTCTGTCTTAGTCTGGAAGCTCAGCTGAAACCTGTCTGCCATGGGTGACCCTGCTGATATTTGAATACTGGTGGCATAGCTTCCAGCATCACAGCAACACGAAAGCCCCTGCAGTATGACAAACTGACAGACATGTGGATGATATATTGGATTATTACAGAAGGCATATGAGTAAATCTTCATGACTTTGGATTAGTCAGTGTTTTCTTAGATATGACATCAAAAGAGTAAGTGACAAAAGGAAAAAATAGATATATTGGACTTCATCAAAATTAAAACTGCTTGTGCTACAAATGATACTATCAAAAAAGTGAAAATACAACCCACCGAATAGAAAACACTTTTGCAAATCATATATCTGATAAGGGACTTGTATATAAAGAACTCTTTACACTCACTAATAAAAAGACAAATAGCTCAATTTTAAAATTAGATTTCAATAGACATTTCTCCAAAGACCATATACAAATGACCAACGAGCACATGACAAGATGCTCAACATCATTAGCCATTAGGGAAAGGCAAATGAAAACCACAATGAGATATCACTTTACACCCATTAGGATGGCTAGTATTAAAAAGACAGACAATAACAAGTGTTGGCGAGGATGTAGAGAAATTGTAACCTTCATACATTGCTGGTGGGAATGTAAAATTATACAGCCACTTTGAAAAACAGCCTGGCCATCCCACAAAATGTTAAACATAGAGTTACTGTTCGACTCATTAAATACATGAAAGACATAATTGTCAAGAAAGTAAAAAATTAAGTTTTGTTGATTTTAAAACTTAAGTTCAGAAATTTTATGGTATTTTTTTCTTTTTAGTGACAATACCTAGACCAGTGCCTCCTTGGCTCCTAAAAAAATATTTGAGGTAGGAGACCTACAATTTAATTTCTTCTACCTAACTGCTTCACTCTTTTTTCTCCATCTATAAGATTTTGATTCTGAATTAAAGCAATAGTTAAAAATAACTTTTTGATAACAATTGCTAACCTAATGTCTCCTTTTATTCTATATAGTGTCTGTAACGAGATCAGTTTTATATTCTGTTTATCATATGAAGTGCCCAAATGATAACTTTTGAAGGATTCTGAGAAGATTTCTATACCCCCAAACTGACTCCAATGGATGCCTTAATCTCTAATTGGAAATTTATTTCTCTGTGTTTATCATTGCATTATCTGGGTTTCTTTTTTAAAAGAAATACTTCTGGTATAACTATTTAGCACTTTAGAATGAATGACTATCAGATGTTTTACTGTCTGTGGTAGCAATGGGAGCATTGATCACATGAGGATAAAATGAATGCCTAAAACTGGAAATGGAAGTCCAAGGATATTAAACTTTGTAGTTTTGTCTAAACAAGCAATGACTATGTGCCTGTCCCCCTTGGCGTGTTTCCCTGTCCTTAGGAATGAGGATACAGTTGCCATCCAGTTGGCTCTGATTCACGGCAACCTTCCATATAATAGAACCACAAGTTCTGCGCCATCTCCATGAAACTGATATGTTTGAGCCCATTGTTGATACTGTTGTGTCAGTCCATCTCATTGAGGGTTTTCCTCACTTTCAATGCCATGCTTTCCTCTTAAAACTTAGTTTTTGTTAAAATGGGTTCTGATGAAAGATGTAAACTCTCCTGCCCCAGAAACCTAGAAAATTAGGCAAGAGACCAACATGTGAGGCATCTTTGGATCTAGAATCAATTAATTTAAACTAAGATTTATTTTCTACAATATATTATTGATCATATCCTATAAGAAAAAAAATCAAGTGATATATCAAGACAAGAGAAGGTAATAGAAAAAAAGTACTAGAGTTAGAAGATGTAAATTGTAGACCTGTCGTTACCTCTTATTAGCTATGTGATTTTGAGCAAATAGCTTAACTTCTCTGATTCCCCAGGTGTTACAAGGGGATAACATTAGCCATCTTGCCTATATCACAGCACAGGTGACAGCCCCGAGTAAGATAATATATATGAGAATACTTTGCATACTGTGAAGCATAATATACAAATAAAACATGGCATTACATTATATGCGTAATTCACTGTTGACATTTAAATGAGAGTACCCAGTTTCTTTCAGCTCAGAAAGTCTGATACAGAGTCTTAGCAAAGACCAACAAAGACATGTTCCAGGAACTGATGCGAGACCAACCCAGGAAACAATGGAGTCCAAGAAAAATGACTTGTATGGGACCTGTTGCAAAGTGACACCCTTGAAGCGTCCTGTAAACAGACTAACACCCAGTTGGACTGAGAAGACAAGGATACAAACAGAAGGTTTTCATTTCATTTTTAAACAGAATTACAATTAATACCAAGAGAGAACAATATGATATTATTTATTGTTTAGGATTTTAACAAATCATACTAAAACTGCTTTTCTAAACAGAGAGAATTGATTGCCATTTTATTCCTGACTTTGAAATATACTTTATTTGATTTCTATGTGGGTTGAATATAGAAGGAAATTATTTTAGTTTAATACAGACTTGAAAAAATTTTGTTTAATTGTCTTATTCCTAATATCTCCCTATTATTATCTTTATCCTGACTACCACCGCAAGGGAAAGCAAAAGATATTGCTATGTCTGAGCCCGTTGATGGAGCTACTATGTCTGTCCATCTCATTGAGGATCTCCCTCTTATTCACTGATCCTCTACTTTACCAAGCATGAGATCTTTATCCAGGGATTGAGCTTTCCGGATGATGTGTCTAAAGTAAGTGAGATGAAGTCTTGCTATCGTGCTTCTGAGGAGCATTCTGGTTGTACTCTTCCTTCAAGACTGATTTGTTTATTATTCTGGTAGCCCATGGTATATTCGATATTCTTCACCAACACCACAATTCAAATGCATCAATTCTTCTTTGGTCTTCCTTTTTCATTGTCCAGCTTTTGCTTGCAGATGAGGCACCTGAAAATATCACAGCTTGGGTCAGGAATACCTTAGTCATCAAAGAGACATCTTTGCTTTTTAACACTTTAAAGAAGTCTTTTGCAGCAGATTTGCCCAATGCAATACGTTGTTTGATTTCTTTACTTCTGTTTCCATGAGCATTGATTGTGAATCCAAGTAGAATGAAATCCTTGACAACTTCAGTTTCTTCACTGGTTATCATGATGCTGTTTATGGGCCCAGTTGTGAGAGTTTCATTTTCTTCACAGTCTAGTGTAATCCATACTGAAAGATGTAGTCTTCTACCTTCGTCAGTAAGTACTTCAAGTCATCTTCAGTTTCAGCAAGCCAGGTTGTGTCATCTGTATATCAAAGGTTGTTAATGAGTCTTCCTCCAATCCTGATGCCACATTCTTCTTCATATAGTCCATCTTCTCAGATTATTTGCTAGGCATACAGATTGAATAAATAAGATGAATGGATACAACCCTGCTGCATGCTTTTTCCAATTTTAAACCATGTAATATCCCCTTCTGTTCAAGTGACTGCATCTTGATCTATGTACAGGTTCCTCATGAGAAGACCAATGAAGTGTTCTGGAATTTCCATTCTTCAGACTGTTATTCATAATTTATTATCTATACAGTTGAATGTCTTTGTGTAGTCAAGAAAACACATGTAAACATCTTTCTGGTATTCTCTGTGTTCTAACAAGATACATGTGACATCGGCAGTGATATCCCTTGTTCCACGTTTTCTTCTAAATCTGGCTTGAACTTCTGGCAGTTCCCTGTCAATGTACTGCTGTAGTTGTTTTTGAATTATCTTCAGTAAAATTTTATAAGCATGCAATATTAATGATACTGTTCAATAATTTTCGCTTTCCATTTGATCATCTTTCTTTGGAATGGGCACAAACAGGCTATCTTCCAGTCTGTTGGCCTAATAGCTGTCTTCCAAATTTCTTGACACAGATGAAGTATCTGTTTGTTGAAGTATCTCAATTAGTATTCCATCAATTCCTGGAAACTTGTTTTTCTCCAGTGCCTTCAGTGTGGCTTGAACTTCTTCCTTCAGGACCAGTGGCTCTTGATGATATGCTACCTCCTGAAAAAGTTGAATGTTAACCAATTCTTTTTGGTACAGTGACTATGCTTTTCTTCCAGCTTGTTTTGATGCTTCCTGCATCATTCAATTTTTTGCCCATAGAATCTCTCAATACTACAACTCAAGGCTTGAATTTTTTCTTAGGTTCTTTCATCTTGAGAAAGGCCAAGAATGTTCTTCCCTTTTGGTTTTCTAACTCCAGGTCTTTGCACATTTCGTTATAATATTTTGCCTTGTCTTCTCGAGTCGTCCTTTGAAATCTTCTGTTGAGCTCTTTTACGTCATTGTTTCTTCGTTCACTTTGCTACTCTATGCTCAAGAAAAAGTTTCAGAGTCTCTTCTGATGTTTATTTTGGTCTTTTCTTTCTCCCCTGTCTTTTTAATGATATTTTACTTTCTTCATGTATGATGCCCTTGATGTCATCCTACAACTTTTCTGGTCTTCAGTCATTAGTGTTCACTGCATCAAATCTATTCTTGAGATGGTTTTTCAATTCAGGCAGGATGTATTCAAGGTCATACTTTCGCTCTTGTGGACTTGCTCTGATTTTCTTCAGCTTCAGCTTGAACTTGCCTATAAGCAATTGATGGTCAATTCCACAGTAGAAAGCTGGCTTTGTCTTGACTGATAATATTGAGCTTCTCCATCATCTCTTTCCACAGATGTAGTCAGTTTGATTCCTGTGTAATTCATCTGGCAAGGTCCACATGTATAGTCATCATTTGTGTTGTTGGAAAAAAAAAAAAGTATTTCCGATGAATAAGTCATTGGTCTCACAGAATTCTATCATGTGATCTCTGGCATCATTTTCTATTACTTATGCTGTATTTTCCAAGTACTGATCCTTCTTCTTTGTTTCCAATTTTCACATTCCCATCACTAGTAATATCAATGCATCTTGATTGCATGTTTGATCAATTTTAGACTGCAGCAGTTCATAAAAATCTTCAATTTCTTCATCTTTGACATTCACAGTTGTTGCATAAATTTGAATAATAGTCTTATTAACTGGTTGTCTTTGTAGGTGTATGTATAATTAACCTATCACTGACAGCATTGTACTTTAGGATAGATCTTGAAATGTTCTTTTTGATGATGAATGCAATACCATTCCTCTTCAATTTGTCACTCCCAGCATAGCATGTAATTGTCAGATTCAAAATGGCCAACACCAGTCCATTTCAGCTCACTAAAGCCTAGGATATTAATCTTCAAGCGCTCATTTTCATTTTTGACAACTTCCAATTTTCCTTGACTCATACTTTGTACATTCCATGTTCCAATTATTAATGGATATTTACTGATGTTGCTTCTCATTTTGAGTCATGCCACATCTGCAGATGAAGGTCCTGGAGGCCCTCCATCTGCATTATTAAGGTCTACTCTACTTTGAGGGAAACTCTATGGGGCAGTTCTACTCCGTCTTTTAGGGTCACTGTAAGTCGGAATTGACTTGGCAGCAACACGTTTGGTTTGGTGGTTTGGGCTCCTTTGAGGAGGCAGTTCTGTCCCAGTTGTATTTTGAATGCCTTCAAACTGAGGGTCTCATCTTCCAACACTGTATCAAGCAATGTTCTGTTGTTATTCATGAGGTTTTTATTGGCTAATTTCTAGAAGCAGATCACACAGGCCTTTTCTAAACCTGTCATCATGAGTGAACCCTACTGGTATTTGAAATACGGATGGATAGGTTCCAGTATCATAGCAACATGCAAGCCACCGCAATATGACCAATTGACGGATGAGTTGCACTTAATCACTTAGCGTCAAAATAGGTGAAGCAAAAATTTATAGAATTAAAGGGAGAAATAGGCAATTCCACAAATATAGTAGGAGATTTCAACACCCCTTTCTTAATAATTCATAGAACTAGAAAATCTGAAGAACACTATCAGTCACCTAATTGCTAACAGAACACTGCATTCAGTAAATTCTGAATACACATTTTTATCTAGTATGTTCACGAAAATAGATCATATTCTGGTCCATAAAACAAATCTCAATGAATTTAAAAGAATAGATATTATAAAGAATATGATCTCTGACCACAACAGAATTCAAGTAAAGATCAATAACAGTAAAATAGCTAGAAAACCCCAAATACTTGGAAATTAAACAACATACTTCTAAATAATCCATAGGTTCAAAAAACAAACAGAAAGCACAAAGTGAGTTAGAAAACATTTCAAAACGAAAAATCAAAATTTGTGGGACACAACGAAAGCAGTGTTAAGTGGTCCATTTATAGCTGTCAACGTTTGCATTAAAAAAGAAAAAAGGCCTTAAGGCTTCCTTTCAAGCAGCTAGCAAAGAAGAGCACGGTAAACCCAAGGAAGAAGGAAAGAAATAATAAAAATAAGAGCATAAATCAACAAAGAAAGGAAAAGGCAAAAAGTTGAAAACATTAACAAAACCAAAGGCTGGTTCATTGAAAAGATCAACAAAAATGATGGACTATATACAATAGCGAGTTCACAAGAGTTCGGGGGTGAGCAGGGCAAAAGATATGACCACGAGATGGCAGTGTTGCACAACAAGCTATTTATTGGGGCCGCCATATTGACAGTCGGCATGTGGGGCTGGTCTCTTGCAGCAGGAGACCTTCTATAGCAGGTGGCACAGGGAGCTACCAGAAAGGGGCAAGGGCAAGGAAACTCCTGGGGGGGAGGGAAGATTAGGGAGGGTGGCTTACGTGTCTAGGCATGTCCCTCAGCAGCAAGGCGGGGAGTCTGTGAGTCGGCGCTGAAGGGCAGCAGCAGCTTTATTTTCTCTGCAGATTTTATCATTATGTGACATACTATATATTTTAATTATTTATTTTGTCTCCTGTCATTAAAATAGAAGCTTCAGAAGCCCAAAGATTTTTAGATAAAATCCTTGGCACATAATAATGCTCAATAGATAATTTTTGAACGAATACATTTCATACAATGATACATATTTTTGTGCTTGTTCCTCAGATCTGCATCACAACTTGAAAAGCAAAATGAAAGGATGCACACCTTTCCAAAGCAAGAAGATGGATGTAAATTGGACAGATGATGAAAAGAGAATCTACAGGGATAAAAGAATAACTCAAACGCAAGAAATGTTGCATTATCTACTTCCTATCGTGGGAAGCTCAAAAAACATGCCAACCCCCGAGATAAAACAAATATTCAACCCAAGAGCCAACTTCCAGATCCAGCATCAGTAAGTCAGTACAATTTTGTCATTCTTGGATACTAAATATATTCTTTTGTAAGGAAGCAAGCTTTACTAATTCATGAGTCTAGAAAGCAGACTCTTGAAAATGGTGCTGGCTACACCACATCTGACAGGTAACCTCACTGTACGTTTAAATATTATCAAATGGATTTTTTTTTATTTTAGTATATTTCTTAATAGCTGCCTTTTCCCTGTTTTACGTATCCTTGGTTGACTGGTTCAACATCCTTATATACCATTACCTGGAGTAAGTAACTGATTACAGGGCAATGTGAGAATAAGCAAAGAATGAGGCCATCACACCTTTGGTAAACTATCTTGGACATCAATCCTTCTCTGACCAGGAAAGACTAGTTAACGTGCTACAACAGCTAGCAGAATTATTATGCTGATGAATATAACATTTGAATGTAATTATAGGACTGGTACTTAAGTTGTCTGCTCTTTTCTTAACCCAAAATGAATAGGATTACCAATCAACACCATGTCAGCAAGCTGATATAAAAAAGAAAGCAAACCCACTGCCCTCAAGTCAACTCCAATTCACAGCGACCCTATGGGACAGAGTAGAACTGCCCCATTGGGTTGCTAACTGAAAGGTTGGCAGTTCAAATCCACCAGCCACTCCGCGAGAGAAAGATGTGGCGGTCTGCTCCCACAAAGATTACAGCCTTGGAAACCCCATGAGGCAGTTCTGCTCTCTCCAACAGGGTTGTTATGAGTCAGAATCGACTCCACGGGAGTGGGTTTGATTTGGGTTTTGGAATCTTTACGGAAGCAGGCTGCCACATCTTTCTCCCACAGACTGGCTGATAGATTCAAACCACCAACCCTTCAGTTAGCAGTCGAGTGCTTAACCACTGCACCACCAGGATTTGTAAATATATATGTGTGTGTGTGTGTGTGTGCATATAGTCTTGGTGAATATTCCATGTGAGCTCAAGAGAATGTATATTGTGCTGTTGTTGGATGAAGTATTCTATATATGTCATTAGATCTAGTTGATCGACGGTGCTGTTCATTTCAGCTGTATCCTTACTAATGTGCTGCCTGGTGAACCTGTCAATTACTGATAGACGGATCTCCAACTAATGGTGAATTGATCTATTTATCCTTGCAGTTCTATCAGTTCCTGCCTCACATATTTTGACACTGTTTTTAGGTGCATACACATTAAGGATTGTTATGTCTTCTTGGAGAATTGATTCCTTTATCATTATGTCACGTTTACCCCTGATAATTTTCCTTGCTCTGAATTCCACTTTGTCTGAAACTAATATAGCTACTCCAGCTTTCTTTGGATTATTGTTAGCATGGCGTACCTTTCTCCATCCCTTTACTTTAAATCTATCTTTGTCTTTGTATTTAAATTGGGTTTCTTGTAGACAGCAGATAGTTGGGTCTTGTGTTTTTATCCACTCTGACAGTATCTATTTTTAATTCGTCTATTTATACCATTCACAGTTAAAGTAATTATTGATATACACCTACTCCTCACTTATTGACTATCTCGTTATCTGACATTTGCATTTATGACAATAGTAAAAAATCTGCTATCTGACTGTTTGGCACATTAATGATGTACATCTGGCAGTGATGAATGCCAAGGTGTGAGGCTAGAGCAATGCTGTCTGTGATGGTTAAGGTGACGTGTCAACTTGGTTGGGCCATGATTCTCACTGGTTTGGCAGTTATGTAATGATGTAATTTGGCAATTATGTAATGATGTAGTCATCCTCCATTTTGTGATCCGATGTGGTCATCCTCCATTTTCACATAACATCAATTTTCCCATAACGACCTGGTCTTTGGAACCTAACCATGTCAATAAGTGAGGAGTGGGTGTATTTGGTTTAATACTTACCATATCTGTAACTGTTTTTTATTCATTGCCCTTGTTCTTTGTTTTTTATTGTTTTGTTTTCTACTTTTTTTTTTTTTTTTTTGCCTTCTCTGCTTTTAAGTGAACATTTTATATAACCGCATCTTTTTCCTCTCTTAGGATATCAATTATACTGTTTTTTTAATTTAATATTTTTTAGTGGTTGTCCTAGTATTTTCAATATACATTTACAACTAATCTAAGTCCACTATACTGCTTCATAGCTAGTGCAGGTACCTTATAGCAGACTATACCCTATTCCTCCCTCCTGTCATCCCTTATAACATAGCTGTAATTCATGTCACTTATCCATAGCTGTTATCACAACTACCTTGTTGTTATTATTATTTAGAGAATAAACTGATATCTGTTAGATCAGTTAGGAATGAGAGTTTCTCAAATTACATTTGATGGTTAAAGAAAATCTTATAACTGTGATGTGTTTCTAGATGTGTATAAAGGAAATATTTAATACAATCATATTATAAATGGGAGAGTGAAAAGGAACAAAAAGGAGGGTAAAGTTTCTATACTTCACATTATGCTGAGCAAAATAAGTTAGTCACAAAAGGCTAAAGATTGTATGATCCCACTTATAGGAATTAGGGAGATATGTAGATACCAAAGTTTCTTAGTGATTACTGGGGCAGAGGGGGAGGGAGGTAAGGCGAAAGGAAGAGTCTTTGCTTAGGAGGCACTGAGTTTCTGTTAACGGTGGTGGAAGATTTTGGAAAAGGATAGTGATGATGATTGTACAACATGATAGATGTACTCGACATCACTGAATTGTACATGTAAAATTTATTGAATTGGCAAATGTTTTGTTATATATATTTTTACCACCATAAAAATAGTCAAGGGAGGATGAACTCACCAAAGGAAAAAAATACGGGTTATATTGTGACTAATATCTAAGACTACAAAGTGGAGTCCATGCTGGGCAAAAACACATGTATTTATTTCTTCCCTAGACTAAAGCCAGCTACTTGCATGAATATAAGGAAGAACAGCTCATCATGGGCATCATCCAGAAATCCCCTTTTTCTAGCTCAAAGGGATCTTGTGACAAACTCTTCAGAATGGTTCCAGTTTATGTCCCAGAAGTCACGTGAAAGTCTATCACCTCTCAAAGACCCCAAGAACAGGAAAAAATATCCTGGAGTCTGGGCCATAAAGACTGAATACAAGAAGCCTTTCAGCAGTAAATGGGAGACCCCTTCCTCAAGTGGTGAGACGGATGCAAATATTACAAAAGATAAGAGTCTTCAAGCTAAAGAATCCAGCCCGCAAAGCTCGGCCCATGTAGCCCCCCATCTAACTGAAAACAAGAAGGACGAGAAACCAAATAAGAATGATGGACAACCCACCTTCCATGTGAAGTTCGGAAGGAGTAATTAACCCAGCTTTGTGCTTCTCTGAAAAACATGGATGAAAGATGACATGTGCTTACATTGTTAAAGAAAAAAAGGAACACAAGAGCTCTCCTTTTCCACTCCCCTGCCCTTCCCCCGTGCATATCCTAAACTACAAATTCTAGATATCCCATCTTCTTTAGTAGGAACATCTTTCAGAGATTTACAGAGTAACCCAGGGAAAATATAGAAAATTTAAAACTACTTAGATATTTTATTTTTGTCAACATGGAAAAAGAAATCTCTGAGCTTTTGATTTCTTCCAAAATGAGTTATTAATACAATACCAAAAAACTAAGAACCCAAGGTAGGAACGACATGTACTATAACTGACTTGAACCCCCCTCCTAGGCACTTTAATGGATCAGTCAACCAATGTCATTTACTGAATTTCTGTTACTATGCTAGAAACCACTGGGGATATAAAAAACATTTCTCCCCGTTAGAAGGTTACAGTCTAATTGTATGTATAAAACATACATGATTAAAATAATTATAGAATATGGTGGAGCATAGCAAAGTGCTAAGTTGTGCACCTCTGACAATTAGAGGAGAAGGTACCAATTGTACAGAGCAAAAATGGAGCACAAAAAGGCACTGACATGCATAGATTATAATTTTTTTTTTTATATTTTATTGTACTTCAGGTGAAGGCTTACGAACAAACAGTTTCTCATGAAACAGTAGTACACATGTTGTTTTATGACGTTGGTTAACAACCCCACAACATATTAACCCTCTAAATTCTCAACCTTTTTTTCTTTTTTTTTTGGTGAAAATACACATAGCCAAAGATGCACCATTTCAAAAATTTCTTCATACACAGTTCAGTGACATTGACTACGCTCTTCCAATTGTGCTGTTGTTCTCACTTAAGATGAAGGCTTATAGAACAAAATAGTTTCTCATTTAACAGTTACTACAAATGTGGCCCTATGACAATGGTTAACAATCTCACAACACATTAACAATATCCTTACTCAACCTTGGGTTCCCTATCACCAGCTTCCTTGTCCCC